GTATAGGGGTATAGGGGTATAGGGGTATAGGGGTATAGGGGTATAGGGGTATAGGGGTATAGGTATAGGTATAATTATGTATAGGCATAGGCATAGGCACAGGCAAAGGCAAAGACATAGGTATAGGTGTGGGTATGGGTATGGGTATATATAGGTATTCATTCTCTTCTTTAGGAGTATTTACTCGCTCTCTCTCTCTCTCTCTCTCATTGCCATAGATTTAAGTTGTGATTCTTCTCGAATGATCTCCAGCTATAGCTTTTACGGTTAACTCCATAATTTGACCGTCTGACGTCTATGTTCTGCTATAGTTTGTATAGATTTCGGCTGGCGGCTGTTTGTTGCTGTCCGGCTGAAAACTAATTTCGCAAACATTTGTCAGCTCATTAACAATTCAATTTGCTGCATAAACGACCTAAACATACAAATAAACAGACGAGCAGAGACAAAGACTTGAGGCGTGGCAGGGCCAAGGGGCTGCCAGTGGCTGCTAATAAGTAGTAGCCGTAGACTTGCCACGCACACCCACTCCCACACACACACACACGCACACACACACACGTGCTCATAAGCACATGAAATACAGTAAATATTCAATTAGCAAACCCTTTGCCGGCCACAGCCCAAACCCGAGTCATGAGCCACAATTTCAGTTGTATTTTTTACTTTATTTGCAGTTTTTTTTTTTTGGCTATTTGCTTAGTAGTTTGCTTTGATTTGGCAAAGGTTTAGGTGGAGGCTCAGATCCCGTTTGCAGTTCCAGTTGCTGTTCCAGCTCATCATCACTGCGGGCCTTTTTCTAATTACACAAAAAAGCTGCTGCTTTGAACCCGTTCGCAGGAGACGGCACAAAGACCAAATAATTATGAATTGTATTTTATTTAATTTTAAATATTTACTAAGCTACCAAAGGAACATTTCGGCCGGCAGACGGTGGCGGTCGCAACGGCTCGGCCACCGCCTCACGCTGCCGTCTCCTGCACCGCCTTGAGCTTGGTCCGTTTCGCCAGCTTCTGCGCCGGCAGCTGCGTGCGCCGACTGCGACGCCGCTCCAGCCAGCGCCGCACGAACGGCGTCAGCAGGCGGGTGTCCAGGGCGTCGAGGTCCGTTTCGCGCAGCAGCAGGCTCGTCACGAGCGCCACGACGATGGTCAGCAGTGCCCCGAAGAGCGTGAAGTACAGGTACGAGATTCGATACAGATGGAAGGGCGCGTCCGAGGCGGCGCTGCAAGGCGAGTTGAGTTGATGGGCGAATGAATGCGAAATGAAAGTGTTGGGGCTCACCTGATGGCGCCATCTAGCGGCAGGCTGCTGAACGCACGCCGCTCGCCCGCAAAGGTGTAATTGCAGCCCAGCGTGGAGTAGGGCTTGCGCTGATAGACCAAGTCGCCCGTGACCAGATCGTGCTGTGCCTTAATGCACATCCAGGCCATGACCACGAGCGAGCTGACGCCGCCGAGCAGGGCGCCCTTCGAGTTGACCCAGGGCAGCAGCACGCCCGACGTGAAGATGCCCAGCAGCGGCCCGTTGGCCACGGAGGTGAGCGTGATCGTCAGCTGGAGCACAGCGCCCAGCTTCTCCACGATGAACACCAGGGCGACAAAGATCACGCCGAAGACGACGACGACGCTGCGCATGACAAACGCCGTCTGCGTCTCGGTCAGCGGCTCGTGCCGAAAGGTCTTCACGAAGTCCTCCAGGACGACGGCCGACAGTGAATTGAGGCCGGTGGAGAGCGAGGAGAGCGCCGCGCTGAAAACCCCGGCCACAAAGATGCCCGGCAGGCCCGGGTAGGTGCCGAGCGTCTCCATGACCAGCAGCGGCAGCAGCTGATCGTTGCGCTGCGCCAGCTTCGTCTCCAGCGGATCGCAGTCCGCATAGGTCGCATAGATGAGCAGGCCCGTGTACCCGCAGATGGCCAGAAAAGCCAGCACTCCGCCGATGAACGTCCAGATGGCGATGCGCGCATGCCGCAGCGTCGGCAGCGACAGATAGCGCTGAATCATATTCTGACTGATCGCATTCGACTTCAGCCAGTGGGCCACGCCCCCCAGCACCAGGGAGTAGAAGGTGTAGCGCTCGCTGAGATCGAATGTAAAGTTGGGCGACTCGACGCGCGCTGTTTGCTTGGCGCGCTGCCAGACCACGCCCGGTCCCCCGATGTCCATGGTGCCCTTGATCAGCACCAGCGCCATGGCCCCGAACATGATCAGCGTCTGCACCACATCGGTCCACACGACGGCCTTCAGTCCGCCAATGCAGGTGTAGAAGATGCACACGACGCACACGCAGGGCGTCACGATGTGGATGTTGACACCGGTTGCCTGGTTGAAGGCTATCGCCGGCACATAGATCACAATGGGCAGCCACAGGAGCTGCGAGATCGTAGAGTTAGCAGGGAGCACTAGGAAGGGAATCACTAACACTTACCGAAGCCATGATAAACATAATCGAGCCAAAGAGTCGCAGGCTGCGATTGTAGCGCTGCTCCAGGTACTACATAAAACAGGAGAAACCCCAACACTCTTCAGTCTCATCTTGATCAAATGTGAGTGCTAAGAACTTACCTTGTAGGTGGATATCAGATTGAGCTCATGGAAAACTGGCAAGAATATGTAGAACATGCAGAGGCCCATGAGCACCAGGGAGCCCATGATGTACAGATACTGGGCACCGTACAGGTATACCTCGGTGGGTGTGCCCAGCAGAGTGATGCCCGAAATAAAGCTGGCGAGCATGGAACGAAAGAGAGACAGAGACAGCGCTATTAGACTAATTGACGAGAATCAACTTCGTAGACCTCTCGCTTGACCTTCAGTCGGACGCGTTTCCGTCGAGAGCCGAAAAAACGATAGACTCAAAAGAAAAACCTCTTTTGGGGAGATCAAAGAGCGTTTTATGCAATTTAATTAGCAGCGACACTGTTCGCTGTCGCCAGCGACATACGGGCATACGTCTACAGTCGTTGCTCTTCCACGAGTCCACTTATGACACAATTTGATTTGCTGCGTTGATGGGCAGCGTGCACACAGTTCACACAGTTCACAGTTCCAGCTGTAACTAGCTCTAAGTGGAACAATCCCTCAGCTCAGCCCAGCTGGAATTGAGCGCCATGGAGGCCCTAGAACTAGCCTATTATAATAGCTACTATTGTGATAAGCTTAACCTAGGAAATAGTGTGCAGAAGAGAGCTCAAGTCTGCCTTGGGTTCAAATAATTCTTTATGCTTTTTATTGTGAGAGTATTCGAACTGCAATGTAAGATTTGCCAAATTTTGATTATTCAAATTTCAAATTTTGATTATTCAGCTTTCAACAGCTAGAAAACCAATTCGATTCGAGAAATAAAAGTGATAAAAAGGTGTTATTTAATAATCTGCAAGTGATTCACATCGAAAGATCATTGTACAATATAATGAAATTTTCCTAGCTTAGCAAAACATTTGAAATTTTGAGTCTATAGCTTGTAAAACAAAAGTTAATCTTCCGAACGTGAAATTAGTTTATAATATATATGATCGAGAAGAATTTCTACTCTTCAGGATATCTTATACCGTTCATAGGGAAATCTGTGAAAGTCAGAAACATTCTTAGCTCTGTACTCAAAGCTTAATTTTGATTGAACAAGAGTAAATCTTTCGATCATTTGATGATCAAGCGATATATTTAATGATCTGGCATTATATTTGTGCTCTACGCTACCAGTAAACAAAGATCGAATAATGGGAAATTTAGGAAGATGTGAGGCACTATGAACTCTCTACTAAATTCTGATTAAACAGCAGTTCATCTTCCTATCATTAGTTTGAATGCTGGCTATCTTCAATCGTAGGTTCCGATTCACAAGAAGAATTTAATTAAAATTATACTCACCTCGAGATAAGCGACATGGTGATGGGAAAGATTTTCATTTTCCTGCCGCCCACCAAGTAGGAGGCGGCACTGCTGGCCGCCTCCTCGGCGCCGGTGGCCTTCAGCTGGCGCGACTCGCGGCGCAGCTGCAGGCAGAAGTGGATGCCGATGACGGCGCAGATGGCCAGCATGAGGCAGAAGACCACGTAGTCCGGCCAGCCGAAGCTCTGCAGGCTGATGCGCAGCTCGTCCACATGCATCTTGCAGCACAATAATCACAGCTACAATCAGATAGATCTCTGGCTATATCGATAGAACTATCGAATCAGCTGTTGTTGTTGCACACACAGGAAAAAAAAAAACGTGAAGAGGCGAAACGCAACGAGTCGAATCAAAAGAAATGCCACCGCACAGTTGGACGCATGAAGACTGACTGAGAGATCGCACATGCGGCACATCCCCGGATTGAGTTGGTCTTGGTCTTCGGGTCTGGTCTGGCACAGCTGAGCGAACGGACGGGCAGCTTAAGCTGAGCGCGCTGCCTGTTAAATGCTCATGATTCTGATTCACAATCTGATTCAGATTCAGATTTAGATTTGCTCTAACAGTCGCGGACTTCGGTTGCCAGCTGCGAGCAGCGAACTTGTCGCGCTCGTTACTGTTGTTGAGGCAGCTATTACTATAAATGATATAATGGCAATTCGTCTACTATACATGAATACCCTGTGCACGCAGTGTGCGCCAAGTGGGTAGGTTTCTATGAACTATATGAACTATATTTATGTGCAATCTTGTTTAAAATAGAACGTGAAATGCTTAAGTAGTGCTAACATTCCTTAAGTAACCCAAGACTTCGTTTCATTTACAGGGTATTGTTTGGTTGATCAGTTACAGTTACAGCTTGTGGCGAGAACAGCTGACACTTGAAGCTTATCAAATCACCCGCCCGCCCATTGGCTTCAGGTCGCAATTGGCCCCAAGTCGGCGTCAATTGCATCTCACGAGCGGAACCATAGATCATTCTCATCCTCAAAGGCTGGCAGACATTGTCTTTGGGGTTGTGGGTCGGTGTCTGAATGGATTGTGGGGTGCCAAATGCGTAGGAATCGCTGGCGTAAACTAACTTGATTAGATTTAGCGCGCAAATTGAGCTCAGTAATTGGCGCGAGTGCGGCCAATGTGGGCCGACGCACGAGCGAGACGGAGCCACAGAATGTGCCAGATTTAGAATTCATAATTTGCCAGTGAGACACAGATATAAATACACACATATGTACATATACATATATATATACAAATATACGTATATTTACACACATGTGCAGTCATCTATATACTTTGTTTTAGTCGCTAGCTTTGGAGTCAATTTGACGAAATTGCCTTGGTTATTTTCAGATTAACTGCGATCTCAATAAAAGAATCTGCGCCAATCTCAGAACTTGACCTTATTGTAAACGATGCACACAAACTGCACTTGAGTAAGACACATACATTATTTTCAATTATTATTTGGGTTTTTTTTTATGAAAATTACTTTTATGGGTAAACCAAAAAAAAAAAAAAATGAAAGAAAAAATTATTTCTATTTTGTGTAAATTTTTGGTTGCTGCAGGTCAGCTAAACTTTGGTCTTTGGTCTATAGCGAAAGCTTGTTCAGATACTCCAGTATAGCCGAGCTGTCGGTGTCCAACTCCAAATCGTTCTCCACATCCCCAGCATTGACGTCCGCTGCAAAAGGAGTGCCCAGAGTTAATACGGTTAGCCCGGTAAGTAGGCCTTCTTGGCCAGACTCACCGCCGCCAGCAAAGCCGCCGTTCATGGCCAGCACCGAGGTGGCCAGCTCCTTGAGCGTGCGCTCCAGTTCGCCCAGCTGCTCCAAGTCACTGACGGAGGGAGCTGCCCGGGCTGAGGCGCTAAGGCACAGCAGCAGCAGCAGCGCGAAGCCAATAGAAGAGATCCAGGTCGCAGCCATTGGGTTGGTAGACAGAGAGTTTTGAGCATCATCAGCATGTGTCCAGGCTTTTATAGATCGAACTGACTAATCGAGACGATTTTCTGCTCAATTTACAGCAAATGCTTCCGCGAGCAGCAAATGAGCTGTGACTCTGATGGAAGATATGTGGAATTAAAATCTATGAATGTGCGTGTAATATTTGTATATGTTAATATACATAGATATGTTTTGTTTATAAATGCTAAATATAATACGACTTTAGGTACAGCCCGTTGAGCCTAAGATTGTTCAACAAGATTAGAAATTAGAGACTGAGCCGAAAAAATCTATATTCAAATGCTAGACAAGCCAAAGAGTATGACAGTGCATACCCTTTAATACCCAGTATTTTCTACTCCATATACAAGCAAAGTTTTACAGGGTATTTGTCGTTCTCAAGTAAAGTAGCGAAAGAGCATTTCTATCGGTCATAGCTAAAATATCACAGGGTATTTGCCAGTCTCAACTAATTTATAATTGATTAATTTTCATTCAGCTGAAAATTTGCACATATGGTCACCCTAAGCGCAGTATTTGGCTACCCAGCCCGCGGATATGCTACAAATATGAGAGAGAGTGAGATAGAGAGAGAGAGAGAGAGGGAGAGATAGACTCTGTCGCGATGCAGTTTTGGTCGAATTGCTTATGTCTGAAATTGTTTTAGCATTTCACTGTCTGTCATGTTCTATACTTAACGTTTGCAATGCGTTTTCAGTTTTTTATTTATTTTTTATTTTTTTTTTTTTTTTGCTATTTTTACAGCAGCAGCTGCGACTGCAAAAAGCGTCTGCACTTTGCTGCCAATCGAGGCATAAAATGAGCAGCAAGTGCCACTACAGCACACGGCAGTGTGACAGAGAGGGCCATAGACCGTGCATAGGGAAAGAGAGCGAATTATAGCAAAAAGGTGCAAACACACACATACAAACACCCACATACATTCAGGTAAGCTCAGACTTTTATCAGAATCAAAAATTCCATATGACGCATGCTGAAGCTTTGAAATGAGTGTTACGATTCATACGAATCATGATAGGGTAAGCAATTTGTTGGGAAAAACCGATCTATGTGGCAAAATAAAAATATTTGAATTATATTTGTAATTCAATGTAATTAATGAAAGTTATATTTGATGCGAATAAATAACAAATTATTATTTTTTTTTTTTTTATTATTATTTATTATATTTTTATCATTTTTACAGAATACATTTTTTATTCTTTTTATTTTTTAATTATCATTTTTTAAAAGAGAAAGTAAATTAAATTATATTTAATATTTTTATACATATTCTTATTATTGTTTTAATATTTTGTTTATCAATTTTCAAAAATAAAAAAATAAATATTTATAATATATATTTTCATTATTATTTTTTGTTTTTTATTTAATAAATTTATTTCTAGCCAATTTTTTGTATTATATTTGTTTTATAATAATTTTTGCTCTGGCTTTTACATACATACATATTCTTGCATGGATCGCTACCCTGAATTTCACATTTTTATATTTCTATTTCTATTTAAGCTATCTCATTCCCGCAAGATCTTATATATGAATGCAATACATTTAAATTTCCTTTCTCTGATCGTTTATTGTAGCGCTCTCTTTGGGTCGCCTATCGCCCGACCTAAGCTCGATTTGAACATCATTTTAATTTTTTTTTTCTTCTATTTTTTATATCACAGCCTGAATAATTTTCTTTTTATACATATTTTTGCTAGGTACTAAAACGGCAGCAGCGAATTAATTAATTCCAGTGCAGCGATTTTTCAAGAAATACCCCCTTTTATACACATATACACACTCGGCGTTTGTGAGTGTGTGTGTGTGTGTGTGCGTGTATGCGTCTGTGCACTTAAAACGCTTCTGCAGGTGTTGTGATATTATTTGGAATTATGTTGGAATTTTTCTAGCGCTGCGCCCTTGCTGAAATGCTCTGAATATTATTTGCATTTTAATTTTGTTTCATGTTTCATATGTCTCTTAATCTACACACACACATGCACACCTTCAGCTGCTTTGAGTTGTTGTTTATAGCTAACTTTACAGTTGAGAAAGCATTGCTAAAGTGGTTTTAATTAGTTGCCCTAACGGGTTTTCGGCCCGGCCTTCTGCGGTTCAGGAATCGCGCTAGCGAGCGCAATTACAAAATGATTGCAGGCCGATTCCCAACATCCGCGAGCCCCATTATTTCAGCTCTAAGCAAATATACACGAAACGCCTGTATGCTGGCAAGTATCTAAAATATATTTCTTTACAAGGCAAACTGGACGTACAATTGGTAAGGTTTTACATGGTCACATATATCGGTAGAGCATGGGCTCGACTAAGGGAAGGTCTTCATGCTTTCGTCAAGTCCCCTGCGGCGGGCGGGGCCGCTGTCGTCGGCTGGTTGTTGTTATTACCAATTGAGCAGATGGCATCGATTTGATCCAACAATTTCTGAAAGTAGAAATACCCATCAGACAGTTGGCAAATACTCCGCGCAAAAATCATCGATTTCGATAACATACATCGGTAGCGAGTTTACAGGGGATCGCCGTCAATATGTTCGCACCGCAGATTAATGCGGCTTTGGACTTCAGATCTTCAATTGTACAGAGCTGCAAATAAGGAAACTATAGTTAATTCTGTTCTGGAACTGAACTGGTTCTGCACGTACGGCACTGGCTCTTGGCGTCATCTGCGCTAGACAGATCAAGGCCACAGCCAAGGCGACTAAGCTGATTGAACTTTTGCAATAATGCATTATTTTTTTTAAGTATTGTCTTCTTCAGGTTATGGAATCTGAACTGAAACTTGAAATGAGCCCCACGCTTTTATATATTCACCCTGGACAGCTGTGGAGCAGTAAAAGTTATTGAAATCGTGAAAAGAGGCGATACCCTTAGATAAGAGCACGACATAGCAAAAGTCGTGCCGCTAGTGTAAATGCGTGATGGGGATATTATCTAGTCTAGTGTAATTAGTAACGTTTTTTCTAGCAGCTTTGAAAAGTTAATTAAAATCCAAAATTGGTAAATTGATTAAAAACCATAGAATATTTCGAAGTCAACTACGGCACGTCTAGAAAAATCTTGTTGATTAAGAAAACTTGCCAATGGGCCAAGGCTGAGCTCTATGATACTAGATGCAAGGTATAGTAAAAGGTTCTCAGTTTAAATTGATTTGAAATTGGCAAAGCGAAGCTTTGATCAGCCATGTATCTGAGTGAATCATTGAAGAGGTGGTAGATTGTATTTACCAATACCAAATATAACTTTTCAAGCCCAGAAGAAATGATATCTTATATCGATTTTAATCGATATGAACCGAATTTATTTTGTATACCAGTATAAAGAAGTAGTTAATCTAGTATTGAAATACCATAGATATTCACATCTAGCAGGTATCCAAATAATTTGTAGATGATGCAGTTCAGTTCAGTTGTTGCCAGATCGTTACAAAAATACAAGGAATATGATTTAAAAGAAACCAACTATTTCCTGCAGCTGCTCGGGCATGAAACTACTAAAGTCTTTGTGTGTGTGTGTGTGCATGTGTTTAAGTGTATTAGTCATTGGCTACTTGTCATATGCAAATTCAGGAGCGCACGCCTCTAGTGTGCCCATTTTGCTGTCATGTGTGTGTGTGTGAGTGTGTGTGTGTGTGAAGGCAAACGACAGTCATCTCGGGCCCATTTACAATAATATTTATCAAGTGCGGCACACACCCAGATAGGGCTAGGGGCCGTCATACATTAGGCGGCTAGCCGGGACGCGCCATCGTCATTGTCATCATCATCATCATTAGCATTATCATTATGATGAGGCGAGCCTATGCGTGGCCTCTAATTACATCGCATTGTCATAACAGAATTGAGCGCATTTGACACGCAATTGGAGCTCACCGTTGCTCCTCACGATGACACGTGAGAAATGACAGCCAGTAGGTGGGAAATTGATGGGTGGGCGGGCCTGAGTCCGACTGCTACCTGACAGTTGGCTAGTTGCAAGGGACATCAACATGTGCTCGAACTGAATATGGAAATGAAAATTAAAATGAAAATGAAAAGGCAAATGGAAGTGGAAGTGGAAATGGAAATGGAAATACAACTGGAAATGTTTAGTGACAGGGCGAGTGGGAGCAGAGTCAGAGGACTGACTGTTGCATCAGTCACCACCAACCTGACCCACTCGACATTGGCTAAGTAGATAAGAATTAATTGTTCAATGGCACGCATTGCACTTAATACTTTGAATACTCCTCCTGTTACGCACATACATACATATGTATGTGTATGCTAAGCCAAGAGCTAATTGTTGTTGCTGTTGCGTTGCTTTTGACTTATGCCCCGTCACTTGGCCCACGCACCTTTTGGGCGGCGGTTAATCGGATAAAATTCATAATTATCGTTATTACTGTCATTTTTTCTAATGACACGCGGCACACAAATTGCGTGTACTTTTCTATTAAGATGACCTATCAAACGCACTTTGACTTCAGCCCAACCGTTGCGTTACAGTCTCGTTGATTTCTCGGCTTGTTTGTTTTTCTGTTCTGCCCAATACCCTAAGCTAAGAGAGTTGTATGCATTATTTAAAGTGGAATGTACAAAAGAATTTTGCATAGATATACATATGTATATAGGCATAGAGATACCCGAGTACAATGACTGTACGATGTGCTCGACTTGAGTGCAATGAAGTGAACCTTTTAAAGGGGCACATGGATATAAATTTAATGGTATAATAATGCAAATATCTAAGCCTCTTTAATGAATACCAAACTAATCTATACAACTACAGATCTACTATGGGGTTGGCCTTAATTTTTCCACAAATTTTGCCCTTCATCTCGTGCATTTTACTTTGAAAACTTTACATTTTCGTTTCACTCCAATATGATAATATATAATATATACAAATTTTTTTCCTTGGGTATTCCGAATTCCTTAATGAACATAAAAACTATATATGTACATATGTACATACATATATAGATATGTATATGAATGTAGTTGTACTGCTGACTTCATATCAATTTCATCCCCTACAAATGTTTAGCTAAAATTTACTCTAATACAAATTTATTCAAATTAATTTGTTAGGGCATTCAGTATTCGTTTAGACAATTTCTAATTCTTTCATTATGTTGACTTTTTTACATTACTTGCCCATATTTTCTTCTAATACAGCCCATACTCAAACACCGCCTCCTCCTCCTCCCACTCCTACTCCATTTATATGGAGCGCACGCGTAAATTATGTAATTAAAATTCCGCACCTTAATTCAGGCAATTTATTACATGAGCTTTTGACTAATTGGATAACGATCTTTAACTATGTTTACTAAATACATGAGAGAGATACATCATGGACCCAGCCTATCGCTACCATATGGATGAGTTCATAGCCGGCCGCGATTGCATTTGCTGATAAGCCCAAAATTAATTGAATTTTTAGGTGTGTGGGCGATTCGCGTGCCCTGACGAGGGCAATAACTAACGGCTGGTCGGGGGTGGTAGGGGGTCAGAGATAGTATATTATATACGCTAATAAATGGGCCTGTAAGTGCGTTTACAAGTCACTAACTACAGTTAGTCTGATCGAAAGTTGGCATCTAAATAGAGCAAAGCAGGTCAACTCTATTCCAGAGAGTAAGCTGAGAAACAGTTGAATACTAAACAATCACAACTGCAATGTAAATGGCTTGGAATTTCACAATTTTCATTGATTGTAAAACTCTCATTACTTTGATTGATTAGTCACAATTTCGCTGAATCGCTTTGATTTTGCTATAGGAGTTCCGGTACACGCTCAACGCGTGCATTGCCATTCGCGTTCGCATCCCGGACCCGTTCCAGTTCCGGTTCTGCTCTGCGTTCTGGTTAATAATTTTCGCATGCATTAATACAAAAATTGAAAGCCAAACGCCAAAAGCCAAAGCTTAACCAGTCAGAACAGTTGAATAAACAAACAAATTAAAAAAAAAAAAAAAGGAAAATTAAAACATTTTCATGATGTGGATCGAAAATACATATGTTTAAGCGGGGTGCGCGGCTCAGGCAGTTGGAGGCAATTAAAAACAGCAACAAAATGCCCACATTCGCAAAAGCTAAGCTCCATTGGGGGTTGGGGTGGGGCAGCGAATGACGCACCGCGCTATAAATAGACCAAGTGCGATAGGGTCAGCTCCAGCTTTTCGGTATGCGGTGCACGTGTAGCCAAACGCCAGGTGCTAGCGCCATGAGAGGGCGGTAAGTAGGGGGATCTCACTCCCCACCTCCACTGTCTCGCTCTCTCTCTCTCTCTCACGCCCGCTCTCTGTGCTTGTTTGGGTCCGACAGTTGGACGTATGACGAGCTGAGGCCAGTCGCGTTTCGCTGGTCAACGTAAAATGTTGTGAGCCAATACATTTTTATTTTTTGCGATTTTTTATTGTTATTGCGCATTGTTGTTGTAGTCGTATTTGTTATTGCTGCTGTTGATGGCCTCCCAATGCACAAGGCTGTGGCTGCGGCTGCTCGTCGCACTACTTCTGCTATCACTCCTCGCCAGCCATCAGGTAAGTCAGCCCGTGGAGCTGAAGCCCCCGATGAGCCAACTGAACCATTTCGATAATTGTCTAGTCGCATGCCCTGGAGTTCATGGATGTGGATGAGTCAGAGTCATTGGGCCATGGCACCGAAGATGACCCCGATGACTCCGCGGAGCTGCCCCCGATTCTGCATAACTACTCGAAGGACACCATCGCCAATTTCAATCCACGCAAGGCGGACGCGCACTTTCGCACGCTCTGGGAGCGAGTGCCGCAGCAGAAGCAGGAGGTGATCAAGCGCAAATAGCCAATGCAATACTCATGAGGACGGATAAGAGATCAAAATATCTAAACTAATTATATTATATGTGTTATGTGTATATGTTGAGCATTGCAAATTTGTTATCGTATGTAAGCTGAGATCCAAGTCATCTCTTGGTTTATTTCATTCATTTATTACATTTGCTCAATCTATTGTGACCTATGCCACACCACATGGCATGGGATGGTGAAAGCGCATCAGTTGGATGCATACTCAGAGTATCCAATTGAACACAGTGAATATTTCTTTGAGTAGCTCATCAGCTGCTACCTTATATGATGTGCTCATCTATAGATTACCAAATCCGTATTATATAAATAAATCCGTATTTCATATTCCGAATAATTGTTATAACATACAACTACTATCACATACTCGTATATACTTATATTTACATATAATTCTAAATTCTTAAATATCATTTATATGTGTCTAGATCTAAAAAGATGTAGAAACTGTATTACTTATATAGAAACTGTATTACAAGCAATTGGCTACAAAAATATTTTTTAAGCAAATTTATACCATCTTAACTCTATGATAGTCTTATATTATTATTTTTGTTAATGAGTTTCAAGATTATTTCTAAGAAAAAATCGACTATATATATAAAATCATAGCATATCAAACTATTAAAAATCTTAACGCTTGAATATATTGATTTCTAAATATAAAGATGAAGATAAGTAAATATGTATAAATATTATATATTGATAAAATATAAAATATAAAATATAAAACATAAAATATAAAATGTAATATATAAAATATAAAATATAAAATATGAAATATAAAATATAAAATATAAAATATAAGATATAAAATATAAAATATAAAATATGAAATATGAAATATGAAATATGAAATATAAAATATAAAATATAAAATAT